TGGGGATCAGGCTCTGCCTCTAGGTGCTCATTTCAAGTCCCAGTTTCCGTCCTGTCACGTGTGGGTGATGACATCCCTCTGCCTTCGTGGTTCTCTGTCGCTCAGACCGAAAGGAGGCGGGGTCGCCTCGCGCTGGTCACTGCAGCCCCAGCCCCTGCCCCAGCCCTGCTCCTCGGGCCTGAGGACCGACCGGCTTCTGTGTGGCCCACGCACAGGTGGGGCCAGGACACACCATCGCAGCCCAGATTCGTGTTTCGTCCGTGTTCACAGGACTCTCCTAAGGCGGCCGCAATGCCCTGAGGTAGCAGCACCAACAGCCTCCACCCGCTGCTCCTGCTCCCGCTGCCGGCGCCCTGAGGGTCGGCTCACGTGCGGCGTTGGGGACAGCCAGGCCGGCGGAAGGCAGCTCCTGGTTCACGCAACCCTCTGACCTTGTGGAGGCCACGAAAACCGGGCCGTGTGGCAGGAGGCAGGTAAGGAGATCTGGGAAGAGCGAAGTCTGTGCTGTTTGCACTGGGGGACCCTCCAGGCGAGGCGCCAGGCCCGAGGCGTCTGCCCAGGAGGGACCCGGGATGTGCCCGGGGAAAGGCCAGGGGCACTGACTGCTGACCCGGATTTGTTCCCAGCAAAGACCAGCCCCTCACTGTCGGCGCCCCCGCGAGGCTCTCCTTTCAAACCGCCACCGAAGGGCGCCACGTGGCAACTCAAACCCAGACTGGGGTCCCCTGGGGCCCAGGCGCTTCCACGACGTTGCTGTCGGACAGGCTGGCTCACCACGTGCTTTGACCAGGTGGGCAGAGCCTGCGGGTGGGGAGGCCAGGGCAGGGGGAGACCCGCCCCCCAAGGGGACAGACGCCTGGGAAATGAGGGGAAATGTCCGTTTGGAGGCACCCTGTCCGGCAGGAAGATCAGGGACTGAGAACTCAACGATCTCGGCTCCTATGGCTGAGCGGGGCCGAGCGGCTGGGCACCTGTACCCAGAGGCACATGGACGAGGAGCGCACAGGCTTCCCTGGGGCCCGGGCTGCGGGCGGTGCGGGGGCTGGGGAGCAGGAAGCAGGCTCATAGGTATGCTGAGCTGGAGGGTACACATTTCTGCAAAACCCTGGCACCGGGGGGGGGGGGGGGGGGGGGCGCAGAAGGCAGGGGATGCCCTGCTCCCCGCTGGTATCATCAGACAGTCCCCCCACGCTCTGGGCCACGGTTCCCTTCACTAAAATGGGTACAGTAACAACCTCAGGGAGTGTGGCAGGATGAGTATCCTCATCTGAGAACAAGGCTCAGAGGTCCTGGAGCAAAGCCCTGTCTGACCGTCTGCCCGAAGGGCTGTGCTCACAGATGTGATGGGAACGCTTGGGCCTTCCTGGGGAGGGGCTGTGGGCTGGGCCGGGGGACCTGGGCCGGCGGTGTCTGAGCAGCACTCTGGACAGCAGGACGTGTGTGCAACCCCCCCACCATCCCTTCTTGCTCTCCAGCAGGGTGCGGAACCTTTTTCCCCACCATTTAGATACTTATCACATCATCTGTGGGCCATACAAAAGCATCAACTTAAAAATTAGCCCGCTCTACTCGGCCAAATGTTTAACTCACCCCTCATGCCGTGGCAGGGCCAGACCACCTGACGTACGGCCGCGGGCCGGCCGTTCCCCAACCTGCGAGTCTCCAGTGGCACGGCTGGCGCCCCCGAGCGCATCCACGCCCAGGAGGCCTCGGAACCGGCAGACTCCCTGCTCTAATCCACGCACAAACCCAGAGCACAGAAGCGATGGCGCTGGTGTGGGTTCAAGCTTCCAGTCCAGAGTCTTTGGAATGACATGAGAATGTTGCAGGGCCCTGAACACCCGGATGATCGGGTAACGGAACCTGAACGTGCGGGACGCGGAGGGACACTGTACGGACAAGCACCCGCCCAGAGGACACGCGGGGCTGGCGCAGAGGCCCCCCCTCTTAGAGAAGCCGTGTCCTCTCATCGCTCCAGCTCAGGTGCCCTCCCCGGACCCCCTGCCGCTACCACCTCCTTGGGAGAAACAGCGGCTGGGCCGTGGGGCCTCCACGTGCGGCTGGGGCGGCCTCAGCAGAAGAGCCGTGAGAGACGGGTAACATTTATTCATACGCAACACCAACTAGGAAACAGCTCTACACACAACGACTCAGAAACACAAGTCGGGATCAGGGCGCAGCACCCGGAGCAGCGAGCGGGGACAGTCCCGCCGGCTCGCTTTGCGCTGTTTTGTTGTTTGCGTCTTGACTAGCACCATCTGCGCACAACGAAGGAGGACGTAAGTGGGTAACAGTGAAGATTTGCAAGGCACTTAATCAGTCGTCTGGGTGACGATCGGCGTTGTCTCGGCTTCCCAACAGCAACCCACGTCCACCTGCCCCTCCTCACCAGACCAGGGCCCGAGGGAGGTCTCTTTTGCCAGCGGTCCTTATGGACAAACACGTTCTAGAAAGTTCCTCAAAGTGCTTTTTCAGTCTCACGAGGCTTCCACTTCCCTTGGCCTCCCATCGTTCTCTCCTCCTACGCGTGTCCGGTGTTGGCACCGCTCCTACAGAAACAGCTCTGCTCAACGCCACCGCAGACTTGCCACCAACCTTCATCCTCCTTCCATGGGCTCAGCGCCGCCTGCACGGGGCCTGGAGTGTGGGCCTGGGGCCTCGAGCATGGGCCTGGCTGCAGGTCCCA